CCAGTTACCTCTCTCAGTGAAGCTATTAACTATATGAAGCGCTGCTTAGATAAAACACCTTGTGCTTAACTGAAGTAAGGAGCATTTTCTAGCTAACCTTTATGTATGGAAGTCCTGCAGTTTCAAAAAAGCATACTGAAAACTCACTGACCTAAGTCATGTTCTATTGCAGCGCAGAATTTGTCAGCGTCTATAAAAATTGTATTTGATGAAGGGAGGATGAAGACTTACCTGGAATGGAATTGTTCAAACGTGATTAAACTATGTATTTATCACATAGTATTTCAGAGAAAAAGACAAAACATTTAGCCCTTCAGAAACATCTTTTTATAAGGCACAGAAAACTGGCTAATTCAGTTTAATGTTAGGATTTTTTTAAATAGGCTTTTTTACAGGAATTAAGGTATAGGACATAAAGCTGAATAAGGGCTCAGTTGTATAAAATCTGAACCTATCACAGGAAGTACAGTATTATATACACTATTTCACACGGTAGCAATTCTGGTATCCTGCATTCATCCAACTTCTGCTATACCAGACATGTATGATTGGTTCAAAAGCCAGCAACAGTCCCCAAGCCATGTCTTTGCGCATTCCTCATTACACATAGTCGGTATTAAAATCATAGGCATCATCTTCATCTGCCACCTTATCCAAGCTCAATGGTAGTAGATCAGAATGTCTGCTTTCTGAGAAAAGAAAATCAGATATCTGTTAGTGAAACCAATGGAAGTGCTAAGAGTACTGGACATGATTTTTAAAGCCCCAGGTTTTAATACAGACCTGCTGCTCTCTCCTTTTCTGCATTAGTACATCTTGGCTGTCGTTTTCCAAGGTTTGCTTTCCTGATCACCTGAATGTGGCTCTCCTATGACGAGTCAGAGAGGTGCGCAACATGAGCTTACTCGGACATCACCACTGAAGTCTCCCATACAGATGAAAGAGATGAGACTCTGCTGATAGTGCAGTGCAGGAACACACTGCTTTCCATTCTCATTACCACTGTACAGAACAAGGTTCCGTTTTTCCCTAATTAAGCAAAGAAACGCCAACCCTAGGAGAAGGACTTGGTGATTTCTCCTAGTGGCTCCAGTGTCTCTACGTGCTCAGTTTACAGCTGAATACTGACTGGGGACTTGTTTTCAGGCTCTAGATAGGCGAAAGCCTAATGAAACCCTGATTTACCTCTTTGATGTTCTTTTTTTCTTCTTCTTCTTCCACGTTGTCTTGCTCATCATCACTTTCAGCAAAATTCGCTTCCTCTTCCTCCTCACTTGTTGCCAAGTTCTCCTGCTCTGATGCTTCCTCTAGCACTTTAGTCTCCTCTACTGTCCCATTTGTCATGCCTGCTGACTGGAAAGCGATGCTGCTTGCCAGACTGGGGTACTTTAGAGCTGGGAAAGAGACAGGAAATGTCTACTAAGGTCTCTGGCGTAGCCAGCACCAGATGTAATGCCTGCCCCTTACAGGACAGCCATTTTAGCTCAGGGCTAGAAAGATGGCCCTGCCCTCTCCCCTCCACCAAGACACCACTCCCACACAGACAGTACTAGAAAGGAGAGTTCTCCAACAGAACAGCTTTCTCTAAGGCACTTATGGAAGATGGGTGCGCGCTGAAGGACTTGAATTTGACTGCAGATTGTACTGTACAGAATCATTTTGTTGGCCTAGGTAAGAAATTGAAAAAAGAACTTTGAAGAGCACGTAAACACTGACCGTGTAGAACAGTTAAGTCAGATCAGCAGAAACCAAGAACTAGCAGGGGTAGTGCTGTTTGTGTATGAAGGCAAACAGCTGCACTGTTCAGCCGTGTAACAATCCATTCCTTTCTCCAAAGGTTCACGTCCACTGCATATTGGCAAAGCTATCACATAAACCCTAGGACTTCCATTCAAAATGTCCCATTCAATATACTACTACCCCTCTTAATGGTAGCAGTGCACTACAATAACAAGTCCTACCTGCAACAGTGGTGCTGTTTTCTTCTTCTAGCTTCTTTAAATTAAAACCTTTCTGCATTTCTGCTATTTTGTCTTCCGTAAGATACGGTGGCAGCCTCTGATATGCCGGAGGTTGTGAGTGGTAGCTTATTTTAGCTCTGTGAAAATAAAATACCAGCAATGAAAACCAACCCAAGATAACATAGTTAAATCACTGTATTTAAGAGGTTTCTGCTGTGGGTTTTATTTTTAATCTCCTCAACCTAACTATTCATTTAATATCATCTGTTTAACAGCAGTTAAATAGCTGTTTAAATCTGACTGTGAAGTTGCCAATAGCAGTACTAAGTGGATGGCCCACTCTTGAGAGGAAAAAGAAGTGGCATAGTTTGTCACCACAAATCATTTGCCTCTAAAAGCATAAGCTGTAAAAGCGACTAAACTACTTGAGCAAGAAAAAATATTCAGACTCAATTAGTCACTGATTCTGAATTACCTTCATCCCTCCCTCTGGAGAACGTAGGAACCACTATAAATCCCAGTAGAAAATTCACGAGCTCCTTTCCTGTCTGTGGAAGAGGTCTACACGAATTCAGTACTTGAAAGGCAACCCACAGCAGAGGTCAGCATGCTTTGACCCTGTCCGTGGATCCTTCACTGTTTTAGAAAATCATAAATGGATGGTGTTCTCTAAATCCGTTAACCCATCCAGCTTCCCCTTCTCAAAGTAAAAGGCAGAAAAAAACAAAAGCAGCCTCTGTTTTCTAACTGCACTTGTTAGCACTCAAAGCTTCTGCTGTGTAAGCAAAGAGCTGGATTACAATGTGAAAAAGGTCAGCAGCATAAAGCAGAATTCAGAGCATACATACCCTGTCCAGTCACAAAGCAGTAATTTAGCTACGTTCTCTGTGTCAGGAACGCCTCCCTTTTTCAGCATACCCCTTTTCTGAGCAAGTAATGTTAAAAACTCCTCGGTATTCCTGAAATCTGGGACACTGTAGAACATCATTACCTAATGCAAAAGAAAACGTTGCATTCATAAATCTAGATGACCCCTTTTTCTCTTAGTTTTAGGAATAAGATAGCAAATCAAATCAGATTACAATGAGAAGGAAGAAGTATATAAAGCAGCTCTTATTTTGCCTTTAGGAGTAAACATTACAGAGTAAAATGGCTACTTCAACAAATTCATCTGCCATTCACCTTTACCAGTGGGCATACACATACAGCATATTATTGGTTTGTAAAGGCCCACTAAACACGGAATGCGATGGAAATTAGGCTTATGTTAATCTAACTGAGGTAAGAGTGAGATCAGAGTTGGATCTGAGGTCTTCACTGTAATAGTAAGGAATGGTGAGGTCTTCATTTCTCGCTCTGCTTCTCATATTATCATCTGATGAAATCTTGCAAGCAATTTTTTTTCTAAATCAGAAAAGTCATTGAGAAAACAGACTCTGGCTGACAGTCTCCTGGCACGCTGCATCTGCCTTTCATTTGTAAGGATGAAAGATCACGTGTGTGATGGATACCCCTGCCAGAGTTTGCCTCCCTGTACGGCTAAATACTCCCCATTCAGAGGAGGGGAAAGCAGCGCAGAAAAGCTGCCAGAACTGGTTGAAGTGAAATGGGTTTTGGTTATTGACATGAGAAATCTACAAAGAAGCTGAATGCAGGAAGGGATGTGGAGAAAGGTGATGGAACTCACCTGCTGTTTGTTGCAGTGATTTAGGATGGCATCTATTCCTTGGAGTACATCTGTCAAGCCTGATTCTCCAGTGTCTATGATGCTCCTCATGGCCAGAGCCAGGGCACTGTTGGAAGGATCTGCAACAATACTTGGACTGTCTAACATCTTCATCTGTTTATCAATATGCACAATTTGCATGGACCTGATGAGACACAAATGGACTGCAAGTAGATAAATCAACCAGTAAAGGAATGCTTAATTAAGCAAGCAAGACACAAAGCTCAGTGTTGGATTGAATATGCTCCACACAGAGTCAGTTTTAGTGCTTTCTCATCATATGCTTTGTGCATGACAGGAAACTAAACATGAATTTTGCAAGCAGAAAAAAAGTAGGTTTATACACTGTGTGTTCTTCCATGACACCTTAGATGTACAGGATGATGTCTTTTATCCCGGCAAATTCAGATGTGCATTTAAAACTGCATAAAGGGGCAGAAAAGCACAGAAACTGTACACAAAACACTAAGCAAACTCAAGGTGATCAGAATACAGACACAATTTGGGGAACGAACAGCTTTCATCAGTCAGCTTACTTGGTAACACCTCTTGCTGGGCCAACGTTGCAAGCACGAGCTCCTTTAAGACCATTGATTATGCTGCTCTTCCCCACATTAGGGAAACCTGAAGAAAACCACAGGAATCCTTGTAAGTAAGAAAACTCAGCCTCTGTAACACTACTCAGAACTGCTGCTTACAAGTGTTTTTGGTAACGTACATCTTCAGTGTGAGATCAGAGTTGGATCTGAAGTCTTCACTACAGAAGTAAGACAAAGTGTGTATCCTCATTTCTCACACTAATAGTAAAAGGGACATGAAAGCAACCATCCCATGGGAGGAAGGCAATGTAGGTTGTGCGGTATGTAGCCGGCTTACGTTTACTCAAGCTGCTGAATCGGCTTAGGCCTCAGACAATGCTATTTCCACAGATCACATATTACACACATGAAAGCGCAACATACGTCACTGTCAACTTAAGTACTGCAACAGTGAGTCTCGGATGAAAGAATGAATGCTGACTAGAAGGCCTAAAAGCACGCAACAGCCTCGGGTGTGAGGTCGCACATTAGCTGTTTTAGCATTATCCAGTTTGTAGTACAGGATACCAAAGCTTTACAGGAGGAGAAGGAAACTCCTTCCATCTCTCCAAATCCTTACCTACTACTCCCACCTGAATGGCTTTGTTTTGAGTCTTGCAGTGCTCTTGAAGAAGTTTCAAAAGGCATTCACTTCCAAAACATTCAGTGTTTCTGGATAAATCAATACGTGCGCTTCTTTTTGTGACCTTCTCCTGCTACAGGATTCAAAGGAAAAAAAAAAGTCAGGAGCCATTTAGGAAGATAAATATGTATGCTTCGATTCACTTGTCTGCTCTAACATTTCCTAGTACTATCCTCCATAGTAGGATAAGCAGAAGGAAACGGTTTAGTAAGAAATTGGTTAAGGCGAATCTATGAGTTAAGTAATGGTAGAAAAGGTAGGCATCCTATATTAAGAGAGAAAGGAACCGATCCTATATTAAGAGAGAAAGGAACTGACTCATAGGGTCTATGTTTTCAGTTCAGGCTGTGTTGCAGATTTGTTGTGTGGCCATGAAATAATCATGTACATTCAGACTATGGAATCCTTTAATCTGCAAATTCACTCAAGAGACTGATCAATGTTTTGAAGGATTTCCGTACTGCTTACTCCCAACATAGAGAGGTTGTCTGCACTATTTGGCATGAGGATCTATTTTGCTATGCTGTTGTAAGGGTTAGCATGTGTGAAGCATTATGTATTGAGGCACATTAAGACTCAAACTAGTATAATCCTCACAGAGATGAGACTAGAACACAGGGAGGTAACGCGTTTATACTCTTCACGAAATAACACCATGCGCTACCTTTTGTGATAGCCAAGGTCAGAACGGATGCAGTAGCGTAAGCTGCACCAGTTTACCCCAAGTAAAGATGCTGATTTAACTGGTGCAACCTTCCTATAGAGGAGAAGGAAAATTCCTCATCTTCCTCTCAGTGTCCTTAGAGTAAAAGGACCCATTTTTACTCTCCACCCCAGCATCCTGGGACAAACAGCAACGTGTATTACAACAGCAAGAATTCCCCTCCCGTACCACGAAGCTTGGTCAAAGCATGAAGGCATATCCATCAGTCACAGTGGTATCATCAAACAAGGGGGAAAAAAGTTTAAAGAACAAGAGTTCTGATTCTCAACGTGTTTCAACCCAGCAAACACATATGGTTTAGTCACATGAAAGAGCCTGCAGTGCTCTTACCATAGTCCTGTCCTTAAGCAGCGTTGCCGATTTAAAAGCAACTGTCGGAAATTCATTCTTCAAATAATTCAGCCATTTCTCTAAGTTCTCCTTTGGTACCAAATCTGGAAAAAAAAAAAAAGCGTGGTCCTTTCACTCGCATGCATGTTAAATATCACTGCATGGAGTAAATCTAAGTTGGAATTAGGAACCAAGCTATATTTTGTCTGTTTAATATGTTTTCTTATGACAGATGTTTGGCTGAAAAGCTGGTGGTTTTTTATTCTTAAGCATAGCTCTACTAAAATTTTGGGTATGTTTCCCCAAAGTGATTCAGCATTGCAAGTTTTTGTCTGTATTTTTTCCCCCCTCAAAGAGAATTTATACTACAATTACATTTTCAGCTATTGTATTAGGTTTTTAATGTTAGGGTCTTGCTAGAAGACCTTGCAAAGTAAAAGGGGTGATGTTATGTGAGGGATTGTGCCATCATCCTTGCAAAGGCTACTCTAATACAAAGTTCCCTTTGCTGTTGCTCTTAATAGTTCCTGTTTTTGCTGCTGATAAACCAATAGTTACCAGCCTTTTTAGCTGGTTTTCACCTCTTTGTGTGCATTCTTCCATATAGCCACAGGAGAAAGAAAATACTTCCCAAAGCCAAGTTTCCAACACAACTATCATGTTGATTTGCTAATGTTTAGTTTACCGTTGCCTCGGTGGTGACTAATATTGTGAGCTCTGCCCAGTCACCTATTTTCACAAACACTTTTAAGAGCTGCAAGATCTCTACCCTTTGTGAAATTTGACTGAGACTAGCCAGCAGGTTCAAACATCATTACAAACAAAGAAGGAAGGGGCTAACATGCAATTATTCTTTATTTTTCCCCCTCCTCTCTCTTTTTAAAGCAACCTAGACTAAAAGGTGGGGGAAACGTGACCCCCTTCAACAGCATAGTGAGCTCAGAGTTGGATCTTATGTCTTCAACTGAACCTCAGATTCCTTTAAAATCTTCTTCATAGCTCACCTAACGCAGAACTACTCAGTAACTAAGTAACACTACAAGAAAACCAGCGTTTCTTACCGATTTTGTTTAGAACCAACAGTAGCTTTTTGTCTTCTCCAGAGCAAACAGCTTGCTCCAGTTGAGGACACCGACAGCCCAATGGATCTCTTGCATCCAAAACCTCCAGAACCACATCTGAGGCCTCAATCACCTACATGAGAACAAAGATGATAACTCTGGAATAGCCGTAGCTTAGGACAGCAACTACTGAATTTCAAAGAACGATTGGTAATTTCAAAGAACGGTAAGCTCCTGCCTTCTTTCTTCTGAATTGCAAACCAGAAAGCTGAAGCAACTTTCATCTTCTCCCTCCAAAGGCAGAGAAGCCTTAGACACTAATTCCTCGTTAATACAAGAGTTCTCCAATCAGTCAGCACGTACTGACGTTGGCCCAAGAAGTCTACTGCCTCAAAGCGCTGGATCTCTCAGCACGAGTAATGGCAGCTCGTACCAGGTAAGACTGAAACCCTCACAGTTTCTAATAATAAAATTATTTACTTCACTGTTGAAGTTTATCACAAACAACCTTTATACTCTCTAGCAGTTGAAGAGTAATGCAGCAAAGGAAAATAACAAATTGTTTCATTGCTGATGCTCGTCAAATTACATAGAAATAGTTGAAGCACTTCACCTTCTTCAGCTCCCTGCAAAATGATTTCTTTGAATTTTTATCCAGTTGCTTGTTAGTCTTTGCTTCAGATTTTCCAGAGGATTCCTGAGTGCAAATAAAGATGAGAGGGAATGGTTTAACAGATAATTAGTGTATCATATTTGCAGAGTAGCAGGTTACAGCTACGAGCGATGTTCCTGACAGCATGAAAATGTCATGTGTAACAACATATGGCTTAAAAAAATGATGTTGTTCCAGAATAATTTTATGCCTTCTATAAACTTCAAAGAATCAAAATCGTATCAAACACAAACCTTTCCCTCTGTTTTTTCCTTGATTTTGGCTGCATTCTTTTTAGCATCAAGCTTTCTCTTCTTTTCAAGTTCCTTCTGTCTGTCCAGCTTCTGCTTCTGTTTTAGTTCTTCAAGCTGATTACAAATAAACAAAACCCAAGCCAATTATAAGAGCTCCTAAGGAAGTAAGGAAGACTGTTCTTTCTCCTCGCTTATTTCTGACAAAGGTGTCCGAGATAGCTTAGTTAGAAGCCAAAGCTATTCCAGTGACACTGGGATCTTCTCCTGCAGTCCTACCCTGAAAAGACTACTACTGCTTCAATTTAAACAGAGACAGTATGTCCATTAGCTAGTTCTCAAAGTAACAGCCCTGCAGCAACCACATTAGAACTGATAAGGATCTCCTGCGTTGACTAACATGACATGAAAGTAGCATCTTTTATTTCGCGAAGTCTTCTGGAGAATCGCATAATGTCACGATTTAACTTTCAGAGCTCTGATGGGATAGCCCATCTTAGTTATCGTAGGTAATTCTCGTTATATTAGAAATGACACTTCTAGCAGGTTTGCAGCTACTATACAGCTTATACAATGATGAAATAAGGTTAAAAAATAAAAGAAAAAATTGTGATATGCAGTATAATGCTGGAAATGAAAATGATGTAATTTTTCCCAAGTATATATCTACTAAGAGTATTTACAACCAAGTATGAGTGCAGCTTCAGGCATGCATGCTTGCATGTGCACACACATACATGCAAAGCTTCCTTGAAGACAGGAATGTTCCCTGCCCTCTTTCTCTCTACTACAAAGTGTTTTTTACCCTCTGCTTTCTTTGCTCCGCTTCACGTAGAAGCTCTTCCTTAAACGGTGCAGCACTGGGAATCCCTGGATCTTTCTTGGGCTTTTTGTGTCCGCGTTTCTTGGCCTCTTTTCTGAGTTTTCGGTGGTGTTCTCTAATCTGCAGACAGGAACAAGAACATTCTTTCATTGGAGGCAATCTAGTCTGAGGCAAAAAACCTGATGTATCCCTCCTTTTTACAGATACTGAAGAAAAAGTTAGGCATGTCTGCTTTTAGATTGAAGTGTTTCAATTACATAATGAATCACCATAAAGCTATATCTAAACAGACAAGGCCAAAATAACGCAAAATGTAATGATGCAAGAAACCCACGCTATTACGCTTTCTTTATCATCCTTCTGTCAATGAAGACTGGAAAGCAAATTGCCCACTCTAATTGAGACTCTATCACTGTTGAAAATAATACCCTTATTAGGTACACGTACACTTGTGCTGCTATCTGTAATTATCTGTATAAAGTACTTTTAGTGCTAAACATCCTTTGATCTACTTATAGATCCTTGCAGTCTGGAATTCACCCTTAACCATGGGTCTACTTTTTTTTCCATCCAGCAACCTTAACTTCCAAGCTCAAAGTGGTTTACTGAGCAGGAGCCAGGCGAACAGCTTAAGGCTAACATAAAACAGCACGCGCTGTAGGCGCCTCAGAAAAGACACGGCTGAAAGCGCAGGCCCTCTGCGCGGGGGTGGCGGGGTCTCGGCCGCGCGAGCACAGCTGTCCATCTCGCCTAGCTGCGGCCCTTGGCAAAAGCAGCTGGCCCAAAGTGTCGGGGGCCCGCGCCCCAGCCCCGGCCTCACCTTCTTCTGGATCTTGTAGCGCTTGTGGCAGCTCAGCCGCTTGCTGGCTTTCTTCAGCTCTGCAACGCAGCACC